GCTGTATCCTTTCAAAAGCTCATCTCAAAAGGTATGACCGTTAAGAGTAGTATATGTGTTTAATTTATCTTAATTTAACTACATAATTTTGTTGTTTAGGAAAAATTCTGAATGATGATAAGCAAGTATCTGAATATTCCATTTCAGAGAATGATTTTTTGGTATTAATGGTTTCTAAAGTATGTTAGAATTAATGGATTTTTATAATTCTAATTCGTGTTTTCAAATAAGTCACCGTAGCATTTTAACAGTATATGTATTTTTTACAGCCAAAGCAATCAACCGCACCTTCGAACAGTGCCGCAGCTTCCGAAGTTGCCTCGAAGACAAATACTGAGGCAACTGCTACAAGTTCCTCTGTTCCTGCAGCGATACCTGCACCTGTTGCTAGTGCTCCTTTGATAACTTCGAGTACCTCGACTACTACACAAGATACTATAACAACCACAAATGTACCACCTACCACACAACCTATACAACCTTCTTCGACATCATTATGGGATAACGCTAGTGCTTTAGGTATGAAATAATTATGAGCGAATTTGGTTTGATGATCTCTATATTTAACAATAAATTTTTTAGTTACTGGAACTGACTATGAAAATGCCGTTAACAATATTATGGAGATGGGTTTTGATCGGGATCAGGTTGCTAAAGCCATGCGTGCCAGTTTTAATAATCCGGATAGAGCTGTTGAATACCTTATGACCGTATGTGATAAAGTTTTTTGTTAGTATTGCAGTGATAAAATGAAAGTATTTTTAATTTATTTTATAATTTAGAGTATTCCTGATGAGACAACCGTTACAGAGCCAGCAGCAACTCAACCCACTCAGCAAGTACCTAATCCTGGGGTAACTCCAACTACAACAGGTAGATTTTAATTTATCTCAATTTTAAAACTATCAAAAAGTTCCATTTAACATATATTTCCCATATAGCACAACCACAAAATCTGTTTCGAGCCGCGGCAGCACTAGCTGCATCACAGCGACAGCAACAGCAGCAACAACAAGGAGGGAGTGCTGATGAATTAGCTGGCTTGAGAAGTCAACCACTATTTCAACAATTGCGACAGATTGTTCAACAAAATCCATCAATGTTGCAACCATTGCTCCAGCAACTCGGGCAATCAAATCCTCAATTCTTGCAGGTAAATTTAAAAGATTAATAAAGTTTTGTAAATTTAAATATCTGATACGCATAGAAAGCTAATCCAAATATTAACTACGAATGTTAGCTTATTAATTCCAATCCTGAATACTTCATGCGCCTTTTGCAAGAAGGAGAAGAAGCAGGTGAGGGAAACCTTCCACCTCCACAATATGTTTCGGTTACACAAGACGAAAAGGAGGCAATCGATAGGGTAAAAATTAAATATTTAATAAATGTGATAATATATATAGATTAATTGTAATAACTAGATTTATATATTATTTGTTCTGTAGCTGGAAGCCCTAGGATTTGAACGCGCTCTTGCTATCGAGGCTTTTCTTGCTTGTGATCGTAATGAAGAAATGGCAGCAAACTATCTTTTCGATCATATGAATGAAGAAGATTAAATGACACATTTATTTAACTTTTTATTTGTTCATGAAATTGTAACAACTGAATGTGGTAACGATGGTTTCATCAACTCAATTAATACCTTATTTTATTTGTTTTTGTTAGTTTTTTTAAATTTATTGAATACTTATAGGCGGGGACTAGGGATGAGTCTGTATATGAAAAATGGTTTTAGTTATTTTAATAATTGAGGGACAGTACATATCATTTCTTTAAATTTCATTTATTTTTATGATTTGGCAATGTTAGATTTAGCATAGTCATATCCTTAGTCGAAAATTTATATTTTAAATCAATATGCTAAATAAACCTTTTTTTTTGAAAGTTATATAAAAAAATTCAAGCTTTTCGGATATTATATTTTACCGATTTACGCCACCTCTTCAAATTTAAAACATCCGTTAAAATATCCGATGATTAATATAAATTGAGTATTAATTTGAAACGGTTTTCGACGTATTCAAAATTTTCAGTCCTTTCGAAAAAAGAAAGAAAGAAAAAACACTTTTATTATATTTTTGCCGGTTTGGAACTTGACGAACAGTTTGCTAGATTGACTATTATTGACAGAAAAACCGAAGCTTTTACTTCGGCCAGACTTTCTACAATTTCTGTCCATTTAATCACTCATTTTACCAGCTTCCTTCATTACGAACAAACAGAATAAAAGTACCAAAAGATTCAATAATGCAAGCAGCGAATTCTCGAAGAAGGAATATGCAACTGAGACTGCCAGCAAATTCACCAAGTCCATTTTCCAACTTTTCGAGATTTGTGTTAGTAATACCTTTCAAATAGTATTTTATAAAAAATTAGTACTGAGATTATTTTATGCTTATTATCGTTATTTAGCGACCCTTCCGGCAAGCTTAATTTTAGTGGCAAGGCTGTTTTACATGCTCAAGGAGTTGATTTCAGTAGTGGTATCAGTTATAAAATCAATAAAGAAGAGTTGGTGTTATTGGAAGAACTCGGAAAGGGTCAATATGGTACGGTACAAAAGGTATTCCACAAGCCCACCAATGTAACCATGGCAATGAAGGTTGGTTTATATTATTATTATTAATAATATTATTATTCGCTTTTCCAAAAAGAATTTCGAATAATTTTATTTTATTGTTTCTTTCTTTTAGGAAATTCGTCTCGAACTTGATGAAACTAAATTAAATCAAATTTTAATGGAGCTGAATATTCTCCATAAATCTCAAAGCACTTATATTGTTGACTTTTATGGCGCTTTCTTCATTGAATCTTGCGTTTATTATTGTATGGAATATATGGATGCAGGATCGTTGGATAAATTATATGGAGAAGGTGTTCCTGAAAACGTTCTCGCCAAAATCACAATTGCGGTATGTATATTTTAAATAGTTTATATTAAATTTTTTAATAAGCATTTATACAATATTTATTTTTTATACTGACTAGATGGTAAAAGGACTTAAATTTCTGAAAGATGAATTAAACATTATACATCGTGGTATTTATTTTATAGAAATATAATTCAATTAATTGTTCTATATATAGATATACCCGTTCATTATTTTTATTTTTAGATGTGAAACCTACAAACGTTCTTGTAAATAGAGAAGGAGAAGTTAAACTTTGTGATTTTGGAGTTTCCGGTCAACTGATACAATCACTTGCAAGGACCCATGTCGGATGTCAAAGTTATATGGCGGTATATAATTTAACCATCATAAATTAAAATAATAATAATATATATACGTATTTTTTCCTTTAATATTAATTATTAAATTTATACTTTACAGCCAGAAAGAATACAGACAGATACATATACAGTTCAATCAGACATTTGGTCACTTGGACTTTCCATGCTTGAACTTGGCACCGGTAAATATCCCTATCCCATTCCGGATAAAAAAATTGGCATGTTTGCCCAACTAAGTGCCATTGTTGACGGAGTTCCTCCTGTTTTGCCCGAAGGTAGATTTTCTGCAGAATGTCGCGATTTTGTAGCACAATGGTAAGGATTCACATGACGATTATCATTATTTTACAAATAATTTAATTGAACCCTTTTATTAATTAGCTTGAATAAAAATCCTCAAAATCGACCTACTTATGCTCAATTGCTGGTAAGGATTTTTAAAATGAAGATTTAATCTATTAAAATACGATTTATCAATTAATTTATTTTAGGAGCATCCATTTTTCGAGAAATATGAAAAGGCCGACGTTGATATGAAATCATGGGCCGAACAAGCGTATTCGTCACGAAAAGATCTGTTAAAACAAACATAGTTGTATTATATTGTAAACAAGTTATTCCTTAGGGGTTTGAAACCTGTTGCAGACATTTGATTACAAAAACTGGAATTTTTTGGTAACGAGAATAAAGATAGGAAATGCCAATTTGGTGGAGTCAAAAAGTTAATGTGATGGGTAATTAGTGAGAAATATCATATTTATTATTATTTTAACTTTTCAGGTTTGATATTTCTTGCTTCATTCCTTTTTGTATATTTCTTTAAATATTCTACTGGTAATCTCATAGGATCTGATATGAAAATTCTTTTCATGTATAATGATTTAAATTCCATCAAAACAATTATACCTTGACTTAATTTGTTTGTTATGATTATTAATGCTAGATATTTAATATAAATGAAACATTGTTTGTAGATTGAATATTTGCTTCAGTTAAATAAAGAAATTTACATTAGAAAAATTGAAAATACTAGTTAATAACAATTCTAAGCTAGCTATTATAATAAATTATTGTTTATTATATTTATGAAATCAGCACATTGTTAAACATGATTGTTAAAAATAAACAAGGTATTCGTATTTCTAAAAATTATGTTTTACTTTTTTTTTTTGTAATTGTTTAATATAAGTTATCAATGCTCTTTTTAATGTCAGTGATTAAGGAGAGCATACATCAATAGTAGTTAAGTAGTATATGAAAACGCTGCATAAAAATGGTCGTTAATTATTCCCATCAATCACAATGAAGAGATTTATTAAAATGTGATTTTGAACCTCCGAAAGGAAATATAAATTTGTTAAAAATATCAAAATCCACATTAAAATGATTTTTAATTATACTTTCCAATTTATTCCCGTCGATTAACGCCTACTTCCTAGTAAAAGTAAACTTATTCTCTTATGCTTCATTTGATTTCTTTCACACTAGCTCTTACCCAAAAATAAATTCTTACTTGCATGTGCGTCGTACCCATTGTTCAGGTAACTTACTATATATCAAAAGTTTGATTACCAATCCTAAGAAATCCCTTTTCATTAATATTGCTCCTTTTCTCCTTTGAAGTCGACTTTATCAAATATCTTCCTCTTTATTAAAATTTCGTGAAAACGCGTTAAAAAAGTTACTCAACTCTTGCCAACTTTTACGACGCATATAATCTTTTGTCTTTTATAGATCTTGAAAAAGTTCACCCTTAACAAAAATGTATCCTACCGACTCTCCTGAGAGAAGTAAAAAAATTTAAATAAATAAATTAGAGTGTTCTTTCACGGTAAAAATTTTCCTTCTTTTCGAATTAAATTTTGTCTTATTTTCAGGTGGACAAAATCACTTTACAAACGATACTGGAGACGAAAAGACTCATAATTCTAGTGCTCTTTCTTATAACGATAATGCAACTAATCCAACTGTATACTCAAATACGTTTATGACTTCTTTTAACGGCAATGAACGATTCTATTCAAGAGTTGTTGGTCAAGTCTACTCTAGAGAAATGGTAACAATTTATGGTAATCCTCCAGCAAATTTTTGGGTGAGTTGTGTCACCAATAACAAATCCTTGCAGAGGATTCCATTCTTGGTTCAATTCCTTGTGTTTTTAATACACAGTTAACTTGAGAGCTGTCAACGGTGGCATTTTTGACGTGTTTTACTATCAACATTTCCAAATTTGATGATCTGCATTACGGATCGACAAATTTTCTTTTTTATTTTTTTTTTTGTCAAATTAAAATTACTAATATTGTAAATTACTTTAATTTTTTTTATGAAAGAATCCAAGTCCAGTCGTTGGCAAGTGTTATTTTTGTAATTCTGCTATAAATCCGCAAGATATCGATACGATTACTTGCAACTCGGCAAATTGCAATATTTATTCCCATATTGGTAGGTTGTATACAGGACAACAAATATGCAGTATAACAATTAACTTTAAGGAATTCCTTATCGAGTTGACAATGCACTTAATAGTTGTAGTTTAGTGATTTGTTATTAAATAATCGTATTGTTTCCCGTTTAATGCTTTTCAGGGTGCTTAATGAAAAGTGGACTTCATGATTTCAATAAATCATGGCACTGTCCAAAATGTATGCCACCACGTGTAAGTCATAAACCCAGATCCTCATTTTGCTTGCTTTCTTCTCAACTCTTACTTTAAAACATTATAACCAATTATTTTATAGCCTCCCATAAGACAGATGGAATCATTAAAAGACGATAATATTGAAGCAAATCAACCTCCACCGGTAAATCCTTTGCATTTGCTATTGGAAGCATCGGACCAAATAGTAAATATCGAACTTTTTTATTTTTCTCCATTTTTTTTTTATTCAATAAAAATTTATTAATATTTTTTTTTTTTTGTAGCAATCAAGTTCTAGGACTCAAATTACCCATATAAACGACATCAATGAACCGTCTTTTACACCTTTAGTGAATTCATCTACGCAGCTTATTGAAAATAATGGTATTTCAACACGACCAAAACTTATGACTCCCGAAGAATTTATTTTTCAGCCTATTCATGGTGACTATTCGGATGTTAACAATACTAATAATGATGAAAATGAAAAAGCAGATATTGAAGAAATTTTACCCTCAAAATTTGAAATTCAATACGCTTTATACGAAGAAGGTTAATAAACCGGTTATTTTTATTTTTATATATATATATATATATATATATTAGATATTTATTTTTAATACCAACAACTTCATTATTTTATAGAGCGAAATAATACTATACGCAATCTTGAAAGAACACGTACACGACAAAATCAGGTTACCAATGCGCTTAAAGAATCAGTTGCTAGAATCTCACGGGAACACGATAAACAACTCGAAAGATACGAATCCTTAGAAAAAGATAACGAAAAACTTAATAATGCTTTATATAAATTAAAACTTGCGCTTATTCCATTGGCTCAAGAAAGGCACGTGTTACAAATCTTACGTAAACAGAATGAAGATTTGCATGAACAGGATATCGGTCAAGACAACGTTTTGCAATTATTCTTGAAGATCGGTACCACCTCAAAACCTTCTAATGCAATTGCTTCTACTTCAAATATACATAATTTACCTACAATTGGTTCTTCATTATATGAAAGATGCCAGAAATGTTCAAAGATTGGTGGACATTTAGTTTCTTGTGTGAATTGCCATATTATTCAACATATTGCTTGTTGTAGTAAAGGAGAGAAACCTTCCATGGAAACGATAGACATTCGATGGCAGTGTATTAATTGCAGAAATGCTAATCCAAAACGGAAAAATTATACGGATAACGCAGACATAAAAGTCGTCCCATCGAGTTTACTTGGTGGATATAAACGCATTAAAGTATGTAATCCAACTAAAGAAAACGGCACAAAATCAAGAAATAATTCACCTTTAGATAGTATTAGTACTCAAAATCTTGATAATGGTTGTGACGAAGGAGTTTTATCGCCACAACTTACTCCTCATAAAGCAGAAACAAATGAGGGAAATACAATAACCATGGAAGTAAAAATTAAGGATCAGCAAGAGTCTACCGATTTGACGCTCCCAAATACTCCCAAGTCGGAAGATAATGAAAGCGATGATAGCAGTTTTACTGGCAATGGTTCGGAAATGGAAATTGAAATTGAAATTGAAAATAATCAAGACAAATTAAAACTTGGGCATTTAGATCGAGCTCCCCCATCAGATAATGGCCCGGAAGCAACTAGACAACCAGCGCGTTTTGACGGGGATATGTGAGTTTTTTTTTTTTTAATTGATGCATATATAAAATTTTTATAATCAATCTCATTTGGATCAGGTATACTCCTCGGTGGGTACGTGGAGTTGGTAAGTCAAAGGAAGGACTTTGTCCTCATTGTGAGCCTGTACGATGGCTTAAAACTAAGATTTCAGCTTATTGGTAAGATATAATTTTCATGAATTATCATTTGTTATTTCAAGTTGATATGTATGTGATATATATATATTTTAGGTATCATCTCAATTATCAACATGGGATTTCTTCCATTACTGGAAGACCATTTACACAACCTACTTCAGAAAGAGTTAATAAAAAAACTGGTATGAAAGAAGCGCTTTGTCACAAGTGTAATAAATGGATTTTAAATCAATCACCACGTGACAAGGATGTTTTAGTCCCCGAGATTTATTGGTAAGTGGATTTTTACAGTAATATACCAATCTATATATAAAACAATTGGGATTTATTTTCGATATTTTATTATTTAAAATAAGGTATAAGCATGCGCAAAAGTGCCATCACACTGGTTCTTAAGGGAATTGTAAACGATGTTCAATTAAATGAGGAAAGATATTGAAAGTGAAATCTAAATTCAACTTTAGTTAAATACTATTCGGATATAATCTAGGGTTTTGTTTTTTCATGAATTTTAGGAATATTAATACATTCTAATTAGACTAGGAAAAAGTATTACAATTGTTGGCTAAAGTATCAAACTTTTGTATTTCTGAATAAATAAATATCTATTATTTGAACCACATTTCATTTTGGGACAACAAAATAGAACGATATCGATACTTCTAACTTTTTTGATTATTAATAAGCTCCGTATAATAAGGATAATTGGTGTTTTCATTTCCTTTCATAAATTCGATAGATACAAATGATGTAATTTCTAAAAAGAATTGTAAAACCAACTAGTCAGTATTCATTCCTTACTCTATTAAGATAGAGTTGTATAAATTGGTCTAATAAAATGTCGGAAATAGGATAGCAAAGCTCCCATATATGACCATATATTGGTCATGCTTGTTTTCTACACTTAAGTTTAACCTTTACTGTCGAAAAAAAAAGAGGGAGCTACTTCCCACCGACGAATAATTCCAATAATGAAATTACTATGGCTCGACCTCTGACAAACAGTTCGAGCTTGTCCGCTACCCAATGGATTCATTTTAGAGCGGGTGAAATTTTGATGTGTCGATATGACAATTGGATAATAGCTGTAAACTTCCCCAGGTTCACCATCAAAAAATCCTCTGACACGTGATTATATAAAATATTTTGTCATTTAGTAGCCCTGTTCCATTTTGATCTGATCCGATTGTCAAAAAATCCAAATAAACGGATCAACAGATCAAAAAATTTGATGATCCGAATGTTCATTTAAAAAAAACGCGTTCGTGTTCATTTAAAAAAAAAAAAATGATTTCACAAAATTTAAAAAATATTGAATCAAAATGTGATCCAAAAACTAAAACACGGATGAAACCTATTCCTATACTTCCAAAACCAATTACATTGGAAACTTCAAATATGTTTCCTCTCGAGTTTAAAGAGGTTTGTACTTATATTTTTTTTTCTAATATTAATTTATTCAATTTAATTATTAACATATTTATATAAAATATTCAGATGCAAATATTATAACTATACAAGCAGAATCACAAAAATTTGAAGATTTTTCTTTAGTAAGCTTTATCTAAAATAATTATCTAAAATTTTATTATATATATGATATTTATTTAATTTATTTTCTTACATATTCAGCCATCAGTTAAAACTAATAAACACAAAAAAAAGTTTTTAAAAAATGAAATAAATCCAAGTGAAGATAATACCAAATGGACAGATATAGAAATTAAAAATTTACTTGAATTTTGGGATGAAAATTTAGAAGATTGGAAACGCGGAAAAATAAAAAGATAGTAAATGACAAATATATTATCAGGTAGATCTTATAAGCAAATTAGAAATAAAGTGGAAAAATTACATGAAATGTACCTGCAAAAAAAAAGCTAATTCTACTAATAAAGGAAATATCAATTGGATTTGATTTTTACAAATAGAGGAAATTTTATCACAAAGTAAAGCTATTAATCCAGATTATATTACAAATTCTTCAACTATAGATTCTATTTCTGATAATAAAAATTTAATTAATAAAGAAAATGATAGAGTTGTTGAAATCAAGAAGAAAAAAAATAAAGTCAATAGAATTGGAGGTTTATCTGAAGTAGTTGGTGTAATAGGTGAGTCAAAGGATAGGTTTTATAAAAAAACTAGATTTAGAGGAATACAAAATTCAAAAAATTTTGAATTAGAAGAAAAATAATTAATTCAATAATATAAATTAGAAAAGAACAAGAAAAGTTACGTGCTAAAAATGAAAAAGTTAAATTAGAATTAGAAATATTAAAATTTCAAAGAATAAATAAATAAATAAATAAAATAAAAGCATTTGTTGAGATTATGCTTTTTAATAATTTTTTTGTCTAAATATTTAATGTATAATTATAAAATTTTTATAATCTCAGTTTTAAAGTGTTAGCTTTGTATATTTGTACAATCTGATATTATCTTTTGGAATGAAAGATGATTTATTTATCATTCAATTAGTATTGAACAATTTATCATCATCTTTTAGGATAAAAGATGATTTATTTATCGTTTAATTAGTATTAAACGATTAGTCATCATCTTTTGTAACTGAAAGATGATTTATTTCTTTATCATTCAATTCGTATCAAACGACCTGTCATCATCTTTCAGAACTAAAAAATAATTTATTTTTTATTATTCAATTCATATTGAATGATCCGTTATTATCTTTCAGACTAAAAGATGATTTATTTATTATTCAATTCTTATTGAATGATCTGTCATCATTTTTTAGAACTGAAAAATAATTTATTTATTTATTATTTGATTTGTATTGAATGATCTATTTTTATTTTTTAGACTAAAAAATGATTTATTTATTGTTCGATTAGTATCGAATGCTTCATCATCATCTTTTGTAACCAAAAGATAATTTTTTTATCATTTAATTTATATTGAATGATCTATTATCATCTTTTATAACCAAAAGATAATTTTTTTATCATTTGATTTATATTAAATGATTTATAATTATCTTTTATAACTGAAAGATGAAATTTTTATCATTTGATTTATATCAAATGATCTGTTATCATCTTTCATAACTGAAAGATGAATTTTATTGTTCAATTTATATCAAACATTGAATTTATCGTTAATTTTATCAAATAAAACATTTTTAATTTTTAAATTTATTTGTAAAGTTAATTTTTATTAATTATTTAGATAACAAATTAATTTAATATTACTTCTTTTTTAAATTCTCCTTTTAACTTTAAATTTTATCACTTTTATTTTTAAAATTATATTGATTATTATAATAATAATCATCATCTCAAACTTCTTAAATTTTATTATTGTAACAGGACTATTATAACTTAATGGATCTATATAATACATTGTAAATAATTATATAAGTAACATAGTTAACATGATCAACTTAATAGATGTATTTAATTTATATAATGTAAGAAAGTATAAATCAAAATGTTAAACATGTCAAATATATTCATATTTAATATATTTGATATGTTTAACATATCTAATATATTTGATATATTAAATATATCTAACATATATAATATATTAGATTTACATTAAAGTATATAAAGAGAACTAAATTCTTAATAAGAAAGTAACTATCAATTGCTAGATGTAATCTGATTAGTTTAACGATAATAATGTGTAACCTTATTTTTGTAAAGATAGCATAAGGCTATAGTTAGGCTATAGTTATACCTCAATATAACAAAGTTGCTAATCTAACTGATTAGGACTTCATTATAAGAATCTTTATTAATGCTATAACGAATTATTCAGTATGTATAACGAATAATTCATTATAGCATTAATGAATTATTTGTTATAGTAGATGATTACTAATTTCATTACACAAATATAATTTTACTATGATATAATTTTTCCAAAAATATTTTCATATAATTTTATAAATTCTAGTCATTTTATTTTAAATTGCAATCTGTTAATTGTTGTATGACAGTTTTATTAATTTACTTAAAATTTTTTTAAAAAAAATTTAAAAATGAAATTAAAAAACTAAAACGAAACTATAAAATAAAATTAAGTGAATGAGATGAGACTAAAGATGGCGTTGCAACATTGTGACACTTATTTGTCACCTGTTGCAACTTAAATTTTAATAATGTTACAATTTG